GGCGAGTCGAAGAGGGAGGGAGCGGGGACGACAATCACGACCACCACATCAACCACGCGCCTCGTGGCCACGCCACTGGCGCACCAGTCACAATTGCGCGCCCCGCCGATAGGGCCACTGGCGACCGCACCTCCGAACACCAATCGAGAGTTGAGTAACACAGAGCGCGAGCAGAACGGAAATGTTACTTGAGCGCTGCCTTTTTTGTAATTCACGTTCGCAGCGTCTGGCACAAACTCGTCACCACTCTCAGCGCCGCCGCCGTCAGTGCCACCGACGGCCGTCGCACTGCTACACATCACGTCGCCCACGCGTGCGCCAACTGCTCCGCATGCCTCCAGCGGACCCGGCCCAGGCGCGGCGCCGCTGAGCGCACTGCAGTCACCGCGCCCCGGTGCCCTCCCCCCACCTCCTCCCTCTCCCCCTGGACCGTCTTCCCATCCCAGTCGGCGGCAGAGGAGGAGGAGGCTGGAGCTGAAGGAATTCGGCGACGACGACGACGACAGGCGGGCGCGCGGCTCCCAGACGGTCTCGGCCGACCCCGCCGCCGCTGGGCTGACCCCCAAACGCTGCCGCCCCCGCCGTCACCAGGCCACCAGCCCCACCGAGGCCCCTGGTAGCCAGCGACGGCCCTACCGAACCTCGTCCTGCCTTCGCGCCTGCCTCTCCTGCGCGCTGGCCGCGTACTTGGTTCATTCCCTGTCGTACCACGCCCTCCAGCTTGACTTGCGTCTCTGCCAGCCAAGGGGGGTCGTCCTCAGCCAGGCCGACATGCATATGACAGCCTACCGATGCATCGAGCTGCGATCACACGGTCTGCGATTCCCCACTCGCACCACCCGCCTGACTATCGCTTACAACTCGATCGTCCTCACCTTCTGCCTGGACGAGGCCCTCGGCTTCCCGCACGGCGAGGTGACAGCCCTGGCGTGCCTTCTCCAAGCGTCCCCGCACCGACCCCCACTTCCTTTTCCAGGTCTTAACCTGGTCGAACGCTCTCGAAGCACGACAGGGCTACTTCATGAATTTTGACGCTCTGCGATGGTCCATATCTCGGAAGGCCCCGCTGCGTCGGGCGCGTCGCTTCCTTGCCTCACCAGGGCGCTGCCCCCCCCCCCTGCGTGAGCCGCACCCACAGCTGTAGCGGTGCTGACGCCTGTCGCATTCTCCGCTGTTAAGGCCGCCCTGCAGCAGACGCAACTTCATAGCGGGAGTGCCGCTCACTGCCGCACCTTCACGCTCGCTGGCATCAACATATCTGCCACGCGTGTTCCACCGTCCACTGTTAAATACTTTATCTGGCGCCCGCCCATGGCCTCCACCGCGGCCGAAAGCCCCACTTTTTGCCAGCCCGATTGCCCGCGCGAACACGCGTCCTCGGGACATGGCTGCGACGGCGGGGGACGCCCCGTCCTTCGCAAACCGCTCAGCGGTCAAGCCCTTGTCCCCCGGCCGCCAACCAGGTTTTCGCCGACGTGGGCCCATTTCCCCCGCGGGGCGCCGAGAGACTTGGCGCATCGCCTGTTAGCACCCCGTCACTTGCTTCAGTCGCTTTGCGCCGGGGTGTAGTTGTTTCAACACTCCCCGCATTTAAAGGTGCGCACCACCGCCAAGAGTGCGATGGCGGCCTCGGCGACCGCAGTAGCCGTCAGTCGACGGGATTCCCGTTCGGTTGTCCGATCTCTCTCTCTCTCTCTCTCTCGCTCTCCCTCTCTCTCTCTCTCGATTTATCCTTATCTTGTTCTCTCTTTCTCTAATTCTCTCTCTCTCTCTCTCTCTTTCCCGCTCTCTCTCTCACACACTCTCTCTCTCTCTTTTTCTCTCCCTCTCACAATATGACGTGTATATATAGATATATATGTCTCTCTCTCTCTCTGTCTCTCTCTCTGTATATATACACACCTGTATATCTACCGATGTATGTATATATATATTCCCTTTTCTATATTTTTATAATCCTGGGGGGTGGGAAAACCCCCCGAAATAGGATCCTCCCCAACCGGGACTTCCGGAAACGGGACCCCTCACGAGGATCGCAGCCTCCGAGCGCGAAAATTAGCGCTGTCCATCCAAAGAGGAAGGTGGGAGGACACGCGAGGCTCCTTGGACCTTCCGACAGGCTTTCTCGAGGCTCCTACGAAGGCCCAAGAGGGTCCCAAGAGCCTTCCAGAGTCCTCCGAAGAAGCCCCCGAGATATGAAAATCAGTGATTTCCTATGGTTGTTCTAAGATTTTTGCTTCTTTGCATGTTCACTGTTCCGACGTGCCAAGACGGCCGAAGACGCCCACAAGACCGATGCCAGACGGCTCAAAAGGCCTCCAAGCGAGTCCGAAACCGGCCCAAGACAGCCCCGACACGGCCCAAGGGGTGCCCAAGACGGCCCCAGAGAGCCCCAAGACGGCCTTCAGAAACGGCACCCCTCACGAGGATCGTAGCCTTCCAGCGCGAAACTGAGCGATTTTCGTCCGAAGAGGCACCACGAGGGTACGCGAGGGTCCTCGGGTTGCCTTGAACTTCTTAAAGGTTCCCCCGACAGCTTGAGAAGGCCCCACGAACCTCGCAGAGTTCTCTGAAGAAGGCCCCAAGAGATCAAAATCATTAATTTCCTATGGCTTTCCTCCTCTTACGGACACGGAAGGAAAGCGAGGTCCAAACCACCTCGAGGACACCTGCGCCCTGCGGAAGACAGCCAGCGGCGGCACCCTCCTGCCCCTCCTCTTCTTCTCCCCCCCAAATAGATCCAGGAGAACCTCGCGATCTCTGTCAAAGCGTTTGGGTGCTCGACACTGGCCCAACGACGTCCAAGACAGCGTTTCGACGCGCCCCCCCAGCGAAATCCAGAACATCGTTCTGAAAGCCCGCTTTCTCCACAGTCGCATCAGCACGCCAGCCTGCACCTCTGTCTGATATTTCGCAATAAAAAGCCACATTCTGGCCCGAATCCCAGGTTCGCAACCATTTTCCTAGAAATTTGGTTGCGAACCCGGGATTCCACGGATGTTCCTCTGCATTCCCTTCCTCGCATACAAATCTGCCCAAGACGCCCAAACGAGGCCCCAAAACGCCCCCATGAGGCTTCGAAGCACGACCAAGAAGCCCCCAAGAGGTGCCAAGAGCCATCCCAGAAGTTCTTCCAAGAGGTCAAAATCACTGTTCTTCCATAGTTGTTCGAAGGTTTTTTTTTATTATTTCTCGCATGTTCGGCTCTCCTGACCTCCGAGACAGCCGCACATGCCCACAAGACCACCCAAGAGTGCTCAAGAAGCCTCCAAGCGATTCCACGGGGCCCAAGTCGGAACGTTTGAGCGCTCCACACCGGGTTACAGACGTGCCAGGGAGCGTTTCGACACGTCTTCCGAACGAAGCCCATACATAACGTTCGTAGAGCCTGCCTGTCCCAAAGTCGCGTCAGCACGCCTCCCCGCGCCCCCCCTGCCTCATATTTTGCAGTATAAAGCTGCATTATGGTCAGAATCCTGGGTTCGAACCCTTTTTTAAAGAAATTTGGTTGCGAACCCGGGATTCGATAAGTTTCCCTCTGAAGTCCTTTTCTTGCATTCCATTTGCCCCTTTCGTTGCTTCGAACACCAAGTTCTCCCACTCCCCTCCGCGACCTCTGCACATTCGCAATGCGAGCCCGCGAGGACACCTCGAAGGGACCGCAGGATACCGCGAGAAACCAGCCGATCCAAAGCTTCAAGGAACAAGATGCATGGCGCGAAGCGCCCATGCAGCCTTGTATATACATATATATATATATATATATATATATATATATCGGAAGTGAGGGGGTGAGATCGAAGTGGAACGGAGAGCCCCCTACCGGGAAATCGATTTCGGTTTCGTGTTCGTGCGTGCCGTGCGTGCGGGCGAGGCGAAGCTGCGTGGGCGGGCGAGAAGAAAGTCTCCTGTGGCTGAGGCGCGGCCGGACCAAATGTCTCCCTTCCGGGCGGCCGGTGGCCCGCGGTGTCCCGCCGGTGTCCCGCTGGTGTCCTGTGTGGCTGAGGCGCGGCCGGACCAAATGTCTCCCTTCCGGGCGGCCGGTGGCCCGCGGTGTCCCGCCGGTGTCCCGCGGTGTCCCGCGGTGTCCCGCGGTGCCCCGCGGTGTCCCGCCGGTGTCCCGCGGTGTCCAGCGATGATGATGATGATGATGATGATGATGATGATGATGATGATGATGATGATGATGATGATGATGATGATGATGATGATGCTGATGATGATGATGATGATGATGATGATGATGATGATGATGATGAGGAGGAGGAGGAGGAGGATGATGATGGTAATGCTGATGATGATGCTGCTGATGATGCTGATGCTGATGTTGATGATGATGATGATGATGATGATGATGATGATGATGATGATGATGATGATGATGATGATGATGATGATGATGATGATGATGATGATGATCGAGTGAGATCGAGTGTGAGATAGATCGAGTGAGATCGAGTGAGATCGATTGTGAGATCGATTGTGAGATCGATCGAGGGAGATCGATCGAGCGAGACCGATACTGAGATCGATAGTGAGATCGATAGTGAGACCGATCGAGTGAGACGTTGGTTCCTCCCCCCCCCCGAACCTCCTTATAACCCGAAGGGTGGTCGTATAGGTGTATATATATATATCGTTCATGCTGTGGGGGTGAGTCTCGCCCTTATCACCGCATCCCGTTGTTTTCAAATCGGGATCCTCACGGACCGCGCCAGGGGGAGGGTAATCTCCACCCACTTCTCACATCGGCACATCCCGCCTTTCCAGGTAGGCCCGAGCGAGCCCATCCTCCTACTTCTCACATCGGCACCTACTTCTCACATCGGCACATCCCGCATACCCTCTCATTCTCGATGATGATCCGCAGCGTCTCCTGCCTCCTTCCAGCCAGCCTCGCCGCTCGCGGCCCACCCAGCGAGGGCCGAGACCCTCGGGGAGCATGGGGGCTGGGCGCCGGTAGGGCGGCGGGGCGGGGGTAGTCTTCAGCAGCGACCGGATCAGCATGCCCACGGTGCCCTGGACGCCGCCTCCTCCCTACTCCTCCTCCTCCCTCTCCTCCTCCTCCTCCTCCTCCTCC